CTCTGGTGAGGGCAGAAAGGATGCATCCTTTTCTTGGTAGGTGTCCCGACTGTAGAGCTGCGGACCTACTGGATAAGGGGTTTTCTGAGGGATTCCTGATTCCGTGTGGTTTGTGTTCCCCTCCCCCTCCTGCTGATAACTTAAAGTCAGCGTTGGCTCACCTGGAGCTGGTTTCAGACAAGTTGTCCAAGGAAGTTTCTTTGGGGAGCATGGCCGGTTAATTTCGGTCTCCGCAGATGGACTATTTTAGTAGTTTCTCCACTGGAGGTAGTAACCAAGAAGGAACCCAATAAATTCCAGTTGATTTATCATTTAACGTATCCCAGAGGAGGATCCGTGAATGATCACTTTGATTCAGACTAGTGTTCAGTTTTGTACACTTCATGTGATACGGTGGTGCATTGGGTTCGGTTTTACAGTACTGGTACACTGTTACTAAAAACGGACATTGAGTCCACATTTCAGTTGTTGCTGGTGCACCCAGACAGTTTCTATTTGTTGAGTTGCTGGTGGTGGAATGGCTATTTTGTTTACTTATAGGGTGTTCCATTTCTTGTTCATTGTTTGAGGCGCTCAGTTCCTTTTTTGAATGGGTGGTCTGAGACGTGTCTGGGATTCAGTCCGTCATTCATTATCTGGATGACTTTGTGTGTATTGGTCCTGCTTCTTCTAACAACTGTAGGATCTTGTTAGCTACTGTGCAGCATGTGGTGGATTGCTTTGGCATTCTGCTATTGGCTGCTAAAATGGAAGGTCCAACTACAGTGCTGAGTTTTCTGGGCATTTTGATTGATACCGTGGCGATGGACTGTAATCTTCCGGAGGACAAACTGATTCATTTGAAGTTGGTGGTGGTTTTAGTGCAGAGGAGTGACAAGTTAGTCGCTGCTTCGTAAGCTCATCTTTGCTTGTCGAATCATGCCTATGGGTAGAATTTTCAATCGCCGGTTGGCAGGCACCATGGTGGGAGTTCGGGCTCCAGGCCATCGTATTCGGCTTTCCCAAGAACATAGGTCAGACTTGTGGATTTGGGAGACATTTTTGGACTCCTATAACAGCAGGTCAGTTTGGATGTTCCCTGCTATGTCCAGTTTTGACCTGGAGCTGTTCACAGATGCCGCAGGATCAGCTGGCTATGGTGCATATTTCTGTGGTCATTGGAGTGCAGGTCCCTGGCGGGTGGAATGGAGGAAGCCTGGCTTGACTAGGAATTTGATGCTTCTGGAATTACTCCCGATTGTGCTCGTGGTGGAACTTTGGGGGTCCCAATTTTGCAATAGGAAAATTTGCTTCAACTGCGATAACATGGGTGTCGTGATGGCGATTAATAGTGTATCTGCATTGTCACCTCATGCGTTTGTTGAGGCATCTGGTATTTTTTTGTTTCTGTTGCAATTTGTTTGTGTATGTGGTCTATGTCCTGGGTTGTATTAGCTTCCTGGCTGATACTCTTTCTCGGTTTCAGTGGGACAGGTTTCACTCATTGCCTCCGCTGTGCAATTGGGAGTTCTTTGTCTGTCCTGGGCTTGGAGGGTTGCCCTGGAGTGACAGTCACACTGATTCAATGGTCAGTGAGTGAGGCGACCTGGTCTGTGTATTCTAAGGTGTGGGAGGAGTGGTTTGGTTTGGTTGAAGGACTAGCCGGAGTGGTGGAAGACCATGATGACCAGTTTTTGGTGTATTTTATAGGGCATAATGTAGAGGTTGGCATTTCTGTGTAGGCGTTGAATTGTAAGTTGGCTGGTTTAGCCTTCTTGTTCAAGTTGTTAGGTCGCAGGGATTGTACCAAAGGATTTCTTGGTTCAGCAGGCAATGAAGGAGTATTGTAGGGGCCATTAGCCTGTGGATGGCCGCAGGCCGATGTCTTTTAATGTGTTGCTTTCCTTATTTCAGGTGTTTCCTAGTGTTTGTTCATCTCCTTATGAGGTGGTGTTGTTGTTTTGGGCGGCCTTAGCGTTGGAGTTCTTCGGAGAGTTGCATATTGGGGAATTGGCGTGTTCTTCTAGATGGGGTTCAGATGGTTTGAAGTTCATGGATGTGCACTGTTGGTTCGGTTGTTTTTTGGATTCAGCAGTTCAAGACGGATCAGGCTGTCAGGGGTATGTGGGTGGAATTGTTTTCTATTCTGGGTTCCACAGCTTGTCCAGTTCAGGCCGTTGCCTTTTTTTTTCGAGTTGCACTCAAGGCGAGTCGGCCCTTTTTTGTTGCATGAGGATGGGACGGCACTACCAATTAATTTCCATTTTCAGGGGTTTTGTGCATCGGACTTTGCATCACATTCCTTCTGCATTGGTGCCACTACAGAAGCTGGGGGTTCAGTGAAGGGTTAGTGCAGCAAATTGGTTGGTGAGAATCCCGGCGTTATCGGCTGTATGTTTGCCCACATTTGTTGTAGGTGACTGAGTGGGATTGCTGAAGTTATGAGTCTGTTGCTCTGTTGTTTGATTGTCCCTCGTTTGTCTTCGTGTGTCAGGGGAAGGCCTTTCGGGCTTTTTAATTTTTTCTGTGTGTTCAGTGTTTGTTTTTTCTGCTCTCTTGCAGGTCGAGGCCCATGTTTGATATGGATTCTGGGTCATTCATATGTCTACTGGGGGGCGTGGAGAGCTGAAGTCCAGCCTAATGGATGGCTGTTGGGCATTCCTCGGGAAGATGCTGCGGTGAGCTGGATTGGGGTACCTGGAATATTGTAGAGTAGGGTGGTTCCTGAAGTTGTGCGTTATGCTCAGTTAGATAGGGCCCCAGATGTGCTCCTGGTGCATGCTGGAGGTTAATGATTTGGGTTTGTGCTCAGTGCTCATCTGAGGCATTAAATTTAACTTTTTCCAGCTTTGCACAGCCCACCCAGATTTGTTGTTTATATGGTCTGATATGGTGGCCCGTACTCACTGGTGTTTGGCTCAGTCAGAAGTTAGTGTGAACAAGGCTTGAGTAAAAGCTAATTGGGAGGTGACTAGATTTGTGCTGTGGAATGGCGGTTTGGTGGCAAGACATCATGAGTTGGAGTTGGATACTTGGAGATACTTACATATGTGGTGATGGTGTGCATTTAACGCAGTAGAGTTGGAAATGTGGTGTCTTGGTCTGTAGGACCCTGTGGGTGTGGAGGACCGAACAAAACTCGCACAAGTATCTTCATCACCCCCACAAGTAGTACAGTGTCACCATGGTGACAGTATGTTAAAAAAAAACCCATAAATAATAATATAAAAAAATAAAAAAAATGTAAATAAAATGTTTAAAAATGATTGTTTTTGTTATTAAACTAATTTGGGTTTTTTTTTTTACTAAAAAGATAACGGAATCAATTTTGACCAAGATTTATGATGAAATATTATTTATTTGCAAAATTTTATAAGAAAAACACTTTTTTTCAAACATTTTGGACATTTTCATTTACATAGCAAAAAAAATCTCAGTGGTGAATAAATACCACCAAAATAAAGCTGTATCTGTCTCAAAAAAATGCTAAAAAATTAATATGGGTACAGTGTTGCATGACCGCGCAATTGTCATTCAAAGTGTGATAGCGCTGAAAGCTGAAAATTGACCTGGACAGGAAGGATGTAAAAGTGTCCGGACTGGAAGTGGTTAATAAAAGACTGTCCCCCAAAGTTACTTTTTACTTACATATTTAGGAACTATCAAACCAGCTTCTGAGCAGATGGCCTGGGGCCAGCATCTGTAGCGGAGCCTTTTTTTTTTTTATTCAGAGTGGCGGCGGCGGCAGACATCATGATTGACATTGGATCTACTTCGGGGGACATTCTTTTTTTAAAGGACTTGTCAAAGAATGACTCCTGTCATTTTTCCACACTATAGCTTTTTTTTTGTGAGTGGGTAGCGGTACCATGTACCCCATACTCATTCACGTGGGGTGGGATCTGATTGCTAAAGGGGGCTTTCAGATTCTGATAAGCCCTCTGCCCGCAGACCCCCACAACCACCGACCAGGGTTTGTGGGGAATAGGCTCTTGTCCCCATCAACATGGGGGCAAAGCACTTTAGGAGGGGAGCACCCCCTACCCCAAAGCACCCCCCCATGTTGAGTGTTGAGGGCATGTGGCCTGGTATGGTTCAAGGTGTGAAGGGGGCTCTAGCGCTCGCTCACCCCCCCTCCTGACCTGCCGGGCTGCATGATCGGTTAAGGGTCTGGTATGTATTTTGAGGGGGGAACCCCAATCCATTTTTATTTTTGCCGTGGGACTTCCCCTCAAAATCCATACCAGATCCGAAGGGCTTAGTATGGAAGGGATGGGGGACCCCACGTTATTTTTTTAATTATTTTATAAATGCCGGCAATTCTTTCTTTTACTTTCAGCTGTCAGTGCAACCCCGCTGACAGCTGAAACATTAATGCATGCTTTTCACTACTAAAATACCTCATGACTTGATAAAATCCTGCGGTATTTTAGTAGCCTTTTTTACTGGATTCAAATGTTTTTTTTTTTTTTTTAAAAATGCTATGCGGTATCCTACCGTATACTCAGATACGGTAGGATACCGCTTAGTGAATTGTGCCCTGGATATGGACCAGTCAAAAAACGCTTCTGAACGCAAATGCTTATAAACGCGGTTAGCCACGTTTACACACATTTACAAACATTTGGCATTTGAAACGCTGATAAAATCTACACCTGATGCAAGTTTGGTGCGTTCAAAAAAACTACTGTAAACTCAACTGCCTGTAAACGACTGTAAACGACATAGTGTACATGGACACATAGGAAAACATTAGGGAGAGTTCAGGGGCTGCTGAAAAAAATGCAGAAAAGCTCTTGAACATGAGTTTATCAGCTGCAGTGTACATGAGCCCTTACAATTGTAATTGTAAACCTCAGACATGAAATATGAGCAGCATATACCTCTATATTGTGCACTTGTCTCAATTAACCACCTCCCCCCGTCATATAAGGAAATGATGGGCAGGCAGCAGTTCTCTCATTCTGGGAAGACGTCATATGACGTCCTCCCACTCTAACTGCGCATGCACACCTCTGGGGGCACGCAGCACAGCAATCAATGGTGCGCTGTGTCCCTAGGACACAGTGGATCATCAATCACAGTAAAGAGCAGATGACACATGCTCTGTCATGTGATCAGCTGTGTCCAATCACAGCTAATCGTGTGTAAACATGAAATGCTTGTTATCGGCAGTCCTTTCCTCACGCTGACAGAAAGTGAGGAGAGGAGAACCGGCAAGAGGCATTCCTGAGAGGGGACATCTACGCAGATCATTAGGGCACTGATAATCAGTGTCCTGATGATCAATATAGCCCCATCAGTGCCACCTGTCAGTGCCCATCAATGCCACATATCAGTGCCTACCAGTGCACATCAATGCCACATATCAGTGCCCATCAGAGCTGCCTTTCAGTGTCAACTATCAGTACCAGTCAGAGCCACCTATCAGTGCCAGTCAGTGCCGCCCATCAGTGCCTGTCAATTCCGCCTAATAGTTCCAATCAGTGCCACCTAACATCAGAGCTGCCTTTCAGTGTCAACTATCAGTACCAATCAGTGCTGCCTATCAGTGCCAGTCAGTGTCACCTATCAGTGCCATGTATGAGTGCTGCCTTTCAGTGCCTACCAGTGATGCCTGTCAGTGCCCATCAGTGATGCCTGTCAATGTCCATCAGTGCCACCTATCAGTGCAGCCTATCAGTGCCCATCACTGCAGCCTCATTAGCGCACATCAGTGAAGGAGAAAAATTACGTATTTACAACATTTTATAACAGAAACTAAGAAACTTTTTTTTCATAATTGTCAGCCTTTTTTAATTTGTTTAGAAAAAAATAAAAAACCCAGTAGTGATTAAATACCGCCAAAAGAAAGCTCTATCTGTCTCAAAAAAGATTACAATTTTGTTTGGGTGCAGTGTTGCATAACAGCGCAATTATCATTCAAAGTGGGAAATTGCTGAAAACTGAGAATTGGCCCAGGCAAGAAGGGGGTAAAAGTGCCCGGTAGGCAAGTGGTTAAGATTATTAAGTGTACTTTCTGTCTGCTGTTTTGTTCCTCTACTATCATTAGGAATCACTTCTGACAAGGTCTCCTGACACCAAGAGAAAAATGGACCTCCAGCAGGTTGACATCTATAGCTCTGTTCTGTGAGCTGTGTGGAGGGGGTGTGCCTCTTCCCTCCAATCAACAATCAAAGCTCCCCTCACTGAGCTCTGTAGTGTGTTGCATCAGATCCCGCCCCATGCCTCTGGAAGCTGAGAAAAGCTTTGAAAATGATGCACTCTGAATGGCTGTAGAGAAGAAATTGCCACAGATAAACAGGTACAGTATATCTTATTATCTTATATAAGATGTATTTTCATCTCTGTGTATCACCTGTGTACCTATATATAGCAATCATGGGCAGCACAGTGGCTAAATGGTTAGCACTTCCACCTGGCAGTACTAGGGTCGTTGGTTCGAATCCCAGCCACGGCACCTCCTGCCTGGAGTTTGCATGTTCTCACTGTGCCTGCGTGGGTTTCCTCCGGGTGCTCTGGTTTCCTCCCACACTCCAAAAGACATGCTTTTTTTTTTTTTTTTAAAGTCCTCAAACGTGCAACTATAACGAAAAAACCCGTAAGTGTTCACAAAAAAAGTGCAAGTGCAAAACACCACACTTAGGGGTGTGCTTTGTCCTTCCCCCGAAGGGGATGGACCACTACCCTGATCCCCCGGGGCACAAAGCTCCTGACAGGGACAAGGTTCCCATTTGGTCCTCCTGGCCAAAAGGCCTGGTGGACCACCGTTCCTTGTGTCCAGCCGAAGCCGGACACCCAGTACTTGGTCAGGGGGCTCTCCCGAAGAGAAAACCCCCTAGGGACAGGGGAGGAAGGAGCCAAAAGGCCACACATCCTCCCCCTAGACTTCAGGGCAGGCCCGAGGACCCACACCCTCCATCCTGTGAGGAAAACACACACATAAGTAAAGAAAAAAGTGACAAGACGTGGGAGGTGTTAAATTAAATAAATAGAAAATAAAAAAGTGGTCGTGCCAAATAGTGCACAGACCAAGGCAAAAATTGCCCTGATCCTAGCCATAAGGCCTGGTCCTAAGGGCGCTGTGCAGAAAAAGTTGAAAACACAGTGACCATGTGCCACCTTCACACAGTGGGGTCCCACAACCAGGTGTTACTAGTGGCACCCCTGAGGCGACTACTCAGGGGGCACTGGTTTGCGGACTCTCTGCCTTCCCGACCCCTGGCCAGACAAGGTAGATCCGTCCAAATCAGGAGGAACTGGGTCCTTCCGGTCTCCTCGGGGGAATTACTCCCAGGCCCCAGCTACGTGTGGGCGTCCCGGTTTTCTATCCTCTCTGGTACTAGCCGTCCAGACCCCCATCATACCAGCAGGGGTACTATACAAACAGTCATCCCCGCAAAGCTAGAATGACCGTGGAGCACCCCTACTGGACACTGATAAGAACAGATACTACACTTGATATTAGCCAAAAGGCTGAGAAGCGATAACCTCCAAAAGACATGCTGCTAGGTTAATTGGCCCCTGTCTAAATTGTCCCTAGTATGTATGTGTATGTATGAATGTAAGTATGTATGAATGTACACCCCTTGAGGGTTAGGGACTGATGTGAATGTACAATATACAGTATATGTAAAGTGCTGCGTGAATTGATGGTGCTATATAAGTACATCAAATAAATAAATCACCTGAGGCTTTCCTTTCAGTGGGGTATATGTAAGGGTTTGCAACTACTTTAAGTATAGAAAGGCGACATGTTTAAAGATGGAAGGGGAGTCACCTGGGAGGAATATGCTAAATAGTTTGATTGGTACAGAGGCAAAATTAAAGGAGTGTGTTTGCAAAGAGAGTTTTATGGGCCCTTTCACATGGGGGGTTAGTCTGGATGCATCTCTCAGTTTTTCAGACAGATTAAGACTGAATCACAATGTAGGTCTATGGGCAGGTGCTACGTCCATTTACATCCACTTATACTTTTGTCACCTTTGACTAGTTTGTTCAACAATTAAACACACAGATAAGACTGATACAAAATGGGTGTGAACTGATGTAAATGGAATTGAACTGAAAACTAATATAAACTGTTAGAATCTGAATCAGTAATCATATTTTTCTTAGCAAAAAATGTGACTGAACTGATAATGCCTGTGTAAAAGAACCATTAACCTGCATTATCAAGACCATTTAGCCAATGTTTCTCAACCTGTGGCTCTCCAGCTGTTGCAAAGCTACAAGTCCCATCATGCCTCTCTCTTCGGGGGTTATGCTTTTAATTGCCAGCTTTGCTATGCCACATGGGATCTTTAGTTTTGCAACACCTGGAGGACCTCAGGTTGAGCACCCATGATTTAGCCACAGTGCAAATCCCAGCAGCAAGAATCAACTGATTCCTGTGGCAGGGATTGACAGCGGTGTCCAGAGAGCTTCAGTCTTGAGCAAGTCAACTATAATGACCAGCTGTTGGTACCTGTAGTTATTTGTAACTGTTTGCATAGCCAACGATTACCGGTGGTGATCCTGGCTAGGAGTACTTTGTACGCATCCAGACATGATTACTGCAGGTAATCACTGGCTGTGATAGATCACAAATAACTGCAGTCAATGACACTATCTAAACACATCTGTCAATCCAGGCTACAAAAATCAGTAGTTTTTTGCTGCTGGGATTTGCATTGTGGCTAAATGACCATGTGAATGCAGCCTTAGCTCTGATTCATTTTTGGATGTGTTTTGAACTGCAGTCATTTGCATGACATGGGAAATGAAATGATTTCCTATGGAGGACGTTCAAATATATGCAGTTCAGCCGTAGTGCAATTTGAAAAAGGGTCATGTGCGTGTTTGCTGTGATGTGATCCATTTTTGAGCTCTATAGAGTTTAACTGAAACTGCATTGGAAATGGCTACGTGTTCAGAAAGAATGCAATTCCATTGCAGTTTTGAGAAGTTTAGGCTGTTTGACTTTGCAGGAAGCAATTTTAGCCTGTGTTCCTAAGGAGAGAGAGAAAGAGAGAAAAAGATCTAAAATTGCAGCTGTACCAAAATCTCATGAAAAATGTATTGGTATTCAAGCAGAACTGCAGATGAATCGCACCGAAGCTGCACACTAAACTGCACTTGAAAACTCAACAAAGTTGCACATCATATATCTGAACCTAGCCTTAGGATCCTTTCAGATGGGAGTGCTCTGCCCCATTCAGCAGAAGACCTATAAGAAGATCCCCTGCTGGATTTGTGCTGAACAGAATAGATGTCAATTTTGTGACAGTGTGCCAGTTCAGATTTTGTCCACATTTTGACAGCAGCTGGACAAAGCTGAACACTGTAAAGAGTGGAACCTATGTTTAGGGCCCTGTACATTCAGGGATGAAGCCCTGAAATGCAGAAGACATGAGTTCCTGGACCTCATTCCTTGAACATACAGGGCCCTAAACATGGGTTCCACTCAGTACAGCAATTAACCCCATCCAGCTGCAGCCTGCTATAGACATTAAAAGGCAGCCTGTAGCAGGACTGGAAGCTGCACCTGTGCCTCCCAGATGCACTATAGTCCTAGGAGCAACACACTGCTCCTAGATGGCCCTATGTGTCCCATAGGATAGATATCAGAGTGTTTCTGAACATGGGGATCATTTGGAAGTTAGAACAGTAACTAGTTGTGTATACAAGGCTCTGTACTAGGTCATTTTCTATTTAATCTTTTTTGTAAGTGTGAGATAACTAAAGGTTTGGTGGGTAAGGTATGTCTTTTTTTTAATGTGCAAATTTGCAAAGGTAAGCAATAGGGTTGATATTCCTGGAGGTGTCTGTGACATGGAACATGAGTTGGTATTGCTGGAATATTGTTCAAAGCAGTGGAAACTGCAGTTCAATGTTTCTAAATGTAAAAAAAATGCACCTAGGGAAAAGGAATCCATTGTTATGGTACAATATCGGGGGCACAGAGTTGTCCATAAGTACAGAGGAAAAAGATTTGGGGGTACATTTTTTCAGATGATTGTAAAATGTGCAAACAGTGTGGCCATGCAAAGGGAAAAGGGAATAGAATTTTATGGGAAGGTGGTGCTGATTTCCTTATATAGATCTATATAGTAAGACCCCCATTTGGAATCCTGTGTCCAGTTCTGGAGACCTCACTTACAAAAAGGATATTGAGTCCAGAATGGAAAATAGTGAATGGTCTGAGGGTTAAAACATATCAGAAGAGACTTCAGGAATGTAATATGTACAATCTTGAGGGAGAAGAAGGGAAAGAGGAGACATGATTGAAACCATTAAATACATAAAAGTAGTGATTCAGTCAACAGAAATTGGATTAACACATGCTTAGGACGAACAGACAAGAAAGTAAAAAAAATGTTAAAACTAAAACAAAACAATGGAGCAGAATCCATGGACAACTTGGTCTTTTTCCTGCCATGATTCTTCTATGTTTCAATGTTTCTCATTACTGCCAAAGTGAAAAAAAACTTGTCCCTTCTCCTATGTTAGTACTCCCAACCATTTTTAACATCTTCACCTG